GCAGTCTCGCCTGGTCCTCTGATATTAGGATGTGGCTTTGGAGAAGGCTGCTAGGATGCATGTGAACACTACATCAGGGGACTGGGATGCATTGATGACAGCGAGGATCCCCCATTTCCTGTAGTACTCCATGAGTGGGGTGCTTTGAGTGTGGTAGGCTTGCAGGCAGATTTTCAAGGCTGTCTCATTATCATTTGATCAATGAATCAAGGGCTCCCTGGTGATGTTATCTTTCATGGGCTCCTTTGAGGGGTTGAACTCTTCACGGCAGGAATGGCCACTCTTGGGGTGAATCAGCCTTCCTGTGATTCTTTGGATCAGCAGAGTCTGGGATGCTGAATTCAATCACAGAATCAGGTTTCTCTTTCCTCTTCTCCATGAGGTCATCAAGCATTTATGCCTGCCTCTCAGTACAAGGGAAGCCATCCAGAAGAAAACCACTTTTGCACCATCTCCAAATTCTTCTAAATGAGATCCACTGCCATTTCATCACTCACTAGTTTCTCAGTATCCTTAGTTGTCTTCAGCTTTTTTTCCTAGCTCTGAGCCAGAATCCACCATGGCCCTGAGCATGTCCCAGTAGTCAAATGGCAGACATAGAAGTTTTCAGCCAATCTGGGTGCCTGGGTGCCTTTATCAGCCCTAGCAGCATGGCCTGGATGCCTTTAGGATACTCATGCTCTGCTGCTGGCACACTGGGAGTCATGTCTGCCAAAGTCTCTCACTGCCACCCACTCACACACCTCACAGGTCCAGTGCTTCCCAGGCCATCCGTCATTATCTTTTAATAGCTTGATTGTGATAAGTCTTGTTAGGAATCTTTTTGTATTTACCTTCCTTGGAGTTTACTGAATTTTTTAGATGTATAAATTTATGACTTCCTTCAACGTTGGAAAGAGTTTGGCCATTGTTTCTCCAAATATTATTCTTTTTTCAGATTTTCTCTCTCTGCTCCTGTGACTCTCATAATGCATATGTTTGTCTGCTTAATGTATCCGGGGTTCTCTTATAATCTGTTCACTTTTCTTTATTCTTTTTTATTTTAACTTTATTTTTAGAGCCATTTTAGATTCACAGAAGAATTGAGAGGAAGGTACAGAGATATCTCATATTTCCTACAGATGCATATCCTCCCCCATTTTCAAAATTCCCCACCAGGGTGGTGGTACATTGGTTACAACTGATAAACCTACACTAATATATGATTATCACCCAGAGTCCGTGGCTTACATTAGGGTTCACCTTAGTGTTGTACTTTCTACGGGTTAGCACAAATATATAATGGCAGGTATCCCCCATTGTAGTATTAGAGTATTTTCACTGCCCTAAAAATTCTCTGTGCTTCACTCCAACTACTTATCCCTTTCCACCCCTTATTCCCTTAAAATGACTCTTTTAAAAAAAAAGTCTCTATAGTTTTAACTTTTCTAGAGTGCCCTGTAGTTGGAATTGCATGATATGTAACCTTTTCCCAGTCTCTAGCCTTAGGACATACCCTTTACTCCAGTAGTCACATAACACACCCATGAGACATCCAGGGAATGTGAAGTATGAATGTCCAGGTAAGGAGTGTTTCTGCTCTCTGAATGGGTTTTGATGTCCAAACCCACCTACATTGCAGTAGTCACCCATGTGCCTATTCACTCATGGCTACTGTCTTCTCTCTGTCCCTTTCATCTCACCCTTGAGCCCAGTGGCCTCCTTGTCACTCTCCAAGTGACTTTTTTTTTGTGGTTAAAGATTTGCCTTTCTATATTTATAATGAATATTGGTCTATAATTTTATTTTCTTATGTTGTTTTCCTGTTTTTGGTATCATGGTAATGCTGGCTCATAAAATGAGTCAGAAACGATTTCACCCTGCTCTATGTTTTTGAAGAATTTGAGTATTTTTTTTTTTCACCTTGTTGGCCAGGCTAGGCTTATCTTTTTTTTTTTTTTTTTTTTTTTTTTAAAAGGAGTGAAGGAGAGGAAGAAAGAGGAAGAAAAAGAGGGAGAGGGAACGGGAATGTTGCTTTATTCTAAAAATGGGTATTAATAATGGCCAATCAATATTTCATTTAAACCTATGAGTAGGCGTGATGTGGTATTGACAAGAATGTATATTTTGTGTATTTAAAGTGGAGAGCTCTATAAATATTTATTAAGTTTACTTGTTCCGGATCTGAGTTCAAGTCCTGGTTGTCCTCATCGGTTTTCTGTCTCGTTGAGTCTAAATCTCTTTATGGGTCTTAGGTATCTGGGTGTTAGGATCGTTAGCTCTTATTGTTGCATTGATCCTTTTACCACTATATCTTTGTTGCTTTGAAATCTATTTTATCAGATGCGAGAATTGCAACTCCTGCTTTTTATTTATTTATTTATTTTTGCTCTCCATTTAGTTGGTTAATCTTTCTCCATCTCTTTGTTTTGAGTCTTTGTGTATCTTTGGATGTGAAATGGGTCTGGATGTAGCATACTGTTGGGTTTTGGCTGTATCTTTTCATTGGGGGATTTAGTCGTTTAAATTTAGGATTACTGCCATTTGATGTTAACTGGCTGTTTTGTCCATTCGTTGATGTAAATTCTTCTTTATGTTGATGCTCTTTACTTTTTGGTATATTTTTAGAAAGGCTAATACTGGTTGTTCCTTTCTATGTGTAACGCTTCTTTCAGAAGCTCTTGTAAAGCAGGCCTGGTGGTCGTAAAATCTCCAAGTACTTGCTTGTTCATAAAATATTTTATTTTTTCCTCAATTGTGAAGCTTAGTTTGGCTGGATATGAAATTCTGGGCTGAAAGTTCTGTTCTTTAAGGATGTTGAATATTGGCCCCCACTCTCTTCTGGCTTGTAGGGTTTCTGCTGAGAGATCTGCTGTAAGTCTGATAGGCTTGCCTTTGTAATTAACCTGACCTTTCTCTCTGGCTGCCCTTAGTATTTTCTCCTTTGTTTCAACCCTGGTGAATCTAATGATTATGCGCCTTGGGGTTGCTCTTATTGAGGAATATCTTTGTGGTGTTCTCTGTATTACCTGGGGTTGAATATTGTCCTGCTTTGCTAGGTTGGGAAAGTTTTCCTGAATAATATCCTGAAGAGTATTTTCCAGCTTGGATTCATTCTCTCTGTCGCATTCACGTACACCTATCAAACGTAAATTAGGTCTTTTCACATAGTCCCATATTTCTTGGAGACTTTGCTCATTCCTTTTTATCCTTTTTTTCTATTCTTGTCTTCTTGTTTTATTTCATTAAGTTGATCTTCGACCTCTGATAGCCTTTCCTCTGCTTGATCAATTCGAGTGTTAAAACCTGTGCCTACTTCTTGGAGTTCCTGTATTGTATTCTTCAGTTCCATTAATTCACATATATTCCTCTCTATATTGTCTATTCTCATTAGGATTTTCTCAAACCTTTATTCAAAGTTCTTAGTTTCTTTACATTGGGCTACAACATGTTCTTTTAACTCACAGAAGTTTCTTATTATCCATGTTCTGAAGCCTGATTCTGTTAATGGAATGCACTTGTTCTCCATCAAGTCTTGTTCTCTTGTTGATGAGGAACTGTGATCCTCTGTAGAGGGAGAGGCATTCTGATTTTGAGTATTCTCAGCCTTTTTACGCTGGTTTCTTCCCATTGTTGTAAATTTATCCACCTGTCGTCTTTGTAATTACCAACTTTCAAATTAGGTCTCTGAGTGGACGTCCAACTTGTTAATTCCCAGGGCCGAAATCTGAGCAACCCACGGTGCCCGCTGAAACAGCGGCGTTAAGACTGATGGTGCTTTTCTGCCCAGGAATCTCCGGTCTGGCTTCCTTCTTGAGTCCATAATAGGCGACTCTGCCTTCCTGGAGCTCCAAAAGTCAGTCAGAAGGGGAACCAGTCCCGTTTACTCTGCACCAAGAGCTGCCGTGCAGAGGCGCCGGCAAAACTGTTGCGCCGGCCACAAGAGTCGCAGTGGCGACCCGTGCGGCTCCTCCACTGGGAATCTTCTGGTCCATGAGTGACAAAAATTCGTCTGAAAGTGTGGCGTCCTCTCATTCTCTGCGCTTTCACTGGGAGCAGCAATCCGGAGATGTTAGTGATCAGCCATCTTGGATTGTTCTCAATCCAAGAATTCCCCCCAAGTGACTTTCGATGATAATGGAGGATAATTATCAGTGAACTGAACAGAAACCACTGAAACTCAAATATCATAGTTCATTGTTACAAAGTTCCTTGACCCGTCTTAGTAAAGGTTGTTGTCTTTACTTAGTCACTTTCTTCTTTCTTCCTTAGGCTCCCTTCTGTTGCTACATTTGGGGCAAGAAATGGAGACATTGCTTCCTCCTGAAACTTTTAGCCAAACTCTTCACATACTCCTTCCTTTCTGGGAAACAAGAAAATCTTTACTAGTGTGTTATTCAGAGAAATTTTGCCCTCTTCTGGCTTCAAACTCTCCCATCCAGACCAGGCTTTATTATGAAATAGCTGAAATACAGACCAATAAAAGGAAAACCCAGACATTCATATAAAGGGTTAGCTCTCAGGTTCTTGTATCTGATATATTAACCCAGGTTATTATATAAGTGATGGCAAAGAATCCAATGTCATGTGACTTGTCTTCTTCTTCTTTTTTTTTTTTTTGAGACGGAGTTTCACTCTTGTTACCCAGGCTGGAGTGCAATGGCGCGATCTTGGCTCACCGCAACCCCTGCCTCCTGGATTCAAGCAATTCTGCCTCAGCCTCCTGAATACCTGGGATTACAGGCTGTGCCACCATGCCCAGCTAATTTTTTGTATTTTTAGTAGAGATGGGGTTTCACCATGTTGACCAGGATGGTCTCAATCTCTTGACCTTGTGATTCACCTGCCTCAGCCTCCCAAAGAGCTGGGATTACAGGCTTGAGCCACCGTGTCCAGCCTCTTTTTTTTTTTTTTTTAAGATGGAATTATCTTCTAAGTTTCAGAGGTAGCTTAACAACTAAATGGGAATGAAAACCGCTTTTCTTGGTTTCTTTTCTCATAAATGATTCTCTTCATTGCAGGATCTTACACATTTATTCCGTGGCTTCTCAGCTTTAAAAGGGGAAGTGCCCTTGAAGAAAAAGAGAATAAAATATTGGTCAAAGAAACTGGTTACTTTTTTATATATGGTCAGGTAGGTTCAAACCCTTATTCCGGTTTCACTGTCCGAAGCCTCCTATTTTGTGTTCATTTCTGACAGCGTGTTTTGCTTTGTTTCTCAGGTTTTATACACGGATAAGACCTATTCCATGGGACATCTGATTCAGAGGAAAAAAGTCCATGTCTTTGGAGATGAATTGAGTCTGGTGACTTTGTTTCGATGTATTCAAAATATGCCTGAAACACAACCCAGTAATTCCTGCTATTCAGCTGGTAAATAACATTTCTCAGACCCCGCTAATCATGAAATGAAGAGAGTTTCATGAAAAATCTGACCTGCAGAATGTGAAAATGAAAGGATGGTGCCCTAAAATACAAATAGACAGACATTCCTCAATATATTGTGTTTTCAAAATCTTGAATGATAAGCTAGTCTGTTTTAATTGAAAAAAGATAGAATTATTGCTAATAGTTTTACCATTTTGTGTACTTTTAGAAAGAGTAGTAACTTCCTAGCATTCTACATTGAGAAAAATTTTAATGTATTTTCTTCAATCCTTAATAATAATATCTAACAATAATAGAGTGATTACCACTTGCCAGGCACTCTTTCCTGCATTTTATATATGTGTACTTATTTAATTTTCTCATTTAAGGGAATCTAGACACAGAGAGGTAACATAACTTGTCCCGGGTTACACAGCTACTAATTTTTAGACTTACTGTAGACCAGCCAGTCTGGTTCCACACTGGGAGCAAAGAAAACTCTTCTTTCATGCTGTGGAGGAAATGCCCATGGCTGGGTTTGAGGGCAAGGGAAAGTTGTATAATGGCTTCTTTCTCATACAGGTGACATTTTGTGTCAATGGATGCCAGACAGGTGACTTAGGAATGTGAAAGTGTAGGCGCAAACCTGCCTTTACACTCAGGAGCAGTGAGAAGCAGAGAGCAGAGCAGGCCTTGTAGATTTCAGGTCTGTTTCCACTGTAATTGCCAACATTTCCTTCATTTTATTTTTCTAGGGTGATTTCAAATTAATCAAGGCTGGTTTTAAAGAAAAATATTTACTTCGAAGACATTTATTTTCTCTGTTGATTTTGTAAGATCCAGAACCCTGAGGAATAGCATTCAGTTACCATGAATGTCCGTGTGACACACAGGAACAGAGACTGGCTATGCATTTTGATATACTGTGTTTCAAAAGCATTTACAAACAAATGCCCAATAAGTCAGTTAGAAACTAAGGAAAGCTGAGCGCGGTGGCTCTCACCTGTAATCCTAGCACTTTGGGAGGCCAAAGCAGGTGGATCACGAGGTCAGGAGTTCAAGACCAGCCTGGTCAAAATAGTGAAACCCCATCTTTACTAAAAATACAATTAGCCGGGCATGGTGGTGGGTGCCTGTAATCCCAGCTACTCGGGATGCTGGCAGATAATTGCTTAAACCCAGGAGGTGGAGGCTGCAGTGAGCCCAGATAGCACCACTGCACTACACCCTGGGTAACAGAGTGAGACTCCATCTCTTAAAAAAAAAGGAAAAGAAACTAAGGAAAATAATTCCTAATAATGGAAATGATATCATTCTGGATCTGCAGACGTAGACTGCACTGGTACAGGGAATAAGGAAGTTTACTGAATTAGAATTCCCTAATTTTAACAAAAAAATGTTTCCCTTCACTTAGTGCTGACTAGTAATTTGGAGTTGCATAATATTTGTAAATGGTGAGACTACTGCAATCTGTTATTTATTTATATTCATTAGTACTAAAAATTTTACAAGTAACTCTTTAAAACATTTTTCTAATCATCTGCTCCTCTTAGCACTTACTTGCTATTAGAGGACTCTGCTAGATTTCTTAAGGTGTCTTACTTTTTAAGAATAATTCACTTGACTTTAAAGATGGTTTTCATTACTAGTAGCTTAGTGTTGTATATGAGTACCATCCTCTAGGAAGTTTCTGGTTTGCAATTTTAATCTGTTTTAGGGCAAATTTATTTAAAGCTATTTAAAACCACACATTAGAGTATAAGTGCATGTTTCCATAGTAACCTGAAAAAATTTAAATAGCTAACTTACGAACTTCAACATAATACCAGTGAACCACTTTTATATACAAAGCTGAATTTTATTCCTTATTGTATTAATAAAATGTTTTTTAGAAAAAGTTATACCTGATTTCTGTAATCTGGAAGAATTGAAATAGCCACTAACTTAGTGTTAAAATGTTAAACAGGCTCTGTAGTTTTTCACACCCACCTAATCTTTAGAGTTAATATTATTTAATGCTTTGTGAGCTACCATCTTTGTCAAAATGTTAAGTCATTTCCAATCTCTAAAATAATGACAAGTCTATTCAACAAATATATCTCAATCTTTTATTTATTCTTGCTACTTAAGGTAATCCCGAAATGTTTTGTCAATTCTAGAAAGTGTACACATAACTTTTAATAAGTCCTGAAAACTTTCTTTTGTTTGTAGTCTGTCTTTGCCCATTACAAAAAAGCACACCCAGTGGGGACAGAAATTTTGTTGTCCTTGATCACTACTCCATGTTTGTCTAGCAGGGTGCCTGGTACGTAGTAAGTGTTCAGTAAACGCCCCCTGGCTACTGCCCAAATAAATCTGCATGCTTTGGGCTTTCGGTTAGAATAGACATGAACATACACGTGTTTATGTAGGTATATTTTCACTATGCTAATGAAACAGTGCAGTTATTCTAAAAATTATTAGCCATAGTATTGACAATTCAGACGACAGTTATTTTGTTTGTTGTTTCTTTACTTCTTCTCTTCCCCTTGTTCTTCCTCTTTCTTCTCCTTCATATTTTTCTATTGAAAAAAGGGTCAAGAATTACCTGATATATTCAGTGTAGCCACTGAATGCATTTTATTTTACGAATTCACAGATGCATTTGTCCTTGTAAAGTAGTTGCACACAGAGTTATTTGTCCTTATTAAGTGCTAATTACATTGTTGTTTTGATTACTAAGACAAACATGATCATCTAAGAAGACAAAACATAAAAGATTGTGAAAAGTAATCCAGATAATGCTTAAACCATAGTCTGGACTCTCAAGAAAAACTATATTAATGAATGTGGTATGTTAAGAAATGGTGTCTTGTTTTTTCACTTTTTGATATTTATGCTTTTTAAATGTATGTTTAAAAATATGATTAGGAATATCTATATGTGTATATGTGTGTAATTTTACACATGTTTATTTAAAATTATTATAAAAACTTTTCCTGTCCACAAAATTAAACAAAACTCACCTCTCATCATTTAATATTCAATCAAGAGATGTGCTATGATTTACCTAATTGTCTAAAAAGTCATATATTGAGCTTCTTTTGGGTCCCTCCATTTTATACAGAGTAGGTGATAAATGTGTTTATATCTATTATAACTCCTTTTGCTTGTTTATTCTAAATATTTTTAGGCTAAAATAATTGTACAGGTCTAGAAGTCCATTGTGTATTTTGAAGTGTGAATGCTTATGTTAACATTTTTTACAAAACAAAATAGTATTATTTAAGGTTCTTTTCTTTTCTGTTGTATAACCACTTACAGTTCTTGTACATCATTTTTCCCCAGGCATAGCAAAGCTAGAAGAAGGTGATGAACTCCAACTTGCAATACCACGAGAAAATGCACAAATATTACTGGATGGAGATGCCACATTTTTTGGTGCATTCAAACTGCTGTGACCTACTTACGCCATGTCTGTAGCTATTTTCCTCCCTTTCTCTGTACCTCTAAGAGGAAACAATCTAACTGGAAATACCAAAAAGAAAAAAAAAGTGGTTACCATAGCCTTTTCTGTGAGCTATTTGTTTTGGTTTGCTGAAACTAATCCAAAACAGGAAATTTAACAGACAACCACAGCCAAAGAGTGTCATGTGAATTACAAGAAATAGAGCCCATTTAGGGAAAGACAGAGCTGGAAAGGCTTTTCACTGTAGTTCCATGTTGAACCATTTAGTCACAGCTTCTTATCTTGGAGGAAGGATGCAACTCAAAGAGGCAGTAGGAAGTTTGTAAAATGTGGCCCCCATAATTTACTATGGAACAGGTGCCCACATCTCTAGGACATTAAGACATTTGTGAGGAATCTCAGGATTCATCTTCTGTTTTTATGTTAAATGCACCCCCTCCTTTTCAGTTAACATTATAAAAAGTAAAAAAATAAAAATTTTAGAAATCTTGCATTAGATACATGAAAAAATAACTAAAAGTTTAAATTTAAATGTGAAACAATTTGGCTGAAAATGGTATCCATATACTATTTAAGTCTTTATGGTTATTTCAAGTATGCAATTTTTATCTCTAATATAATATATTACCCAGACATTTTTCACAGGAGAGAGAGAATATCTTCATTTGTTTATGCTCATGTGTATTTTCTGTAGTGAATTTCAGAAAGTTTTAATGTCAGGTAATAATAATTTATGCATATAAAGCATTGATTGAAAAATAACTATAATTGTTCATAGTCAAAAACATAATCTCCAGCAGAAGTTATTGTATACATTTATACTAATGTAATATAATTTCCCTTTATTTCTTCTGTTTCAAACTGCTGCTATTATAGTTTATGTATCCCAACCTTTAAAAATATTCCTCTTATTAGCTTTAAATTCACTTTATAGATGTTGAGTTTTAATTGAAATTCTTGGTGTCCTGAACTATGTCACATTCCGTGTGCTCCTTATACATATGGTGATATCCCAAAAAGCATCATCCCGGCTTTCATTCTATAAAAGACCGTACTTGAGAATGCTGTAATACTTATCTTTTGTAACTTTTTTTTTTTTGGCTTTGCTTGTCTTTTACATCAACAGTTTAAAGTGTTTACTTCATAAAACAGTTTACATCATTCAACAGTTGACTTCATTAAACAGTAGATGGAAAAATAGATGACAGTCTATGAAAATGTTCCCATCTATATAAAAATACTTATCATGGATATACTTTTCAAAGTTAAGAAAACAATTTAAATTTTATGTTTAAAACCTTAACTTTACACTTAAACTTTGTTTAAACTTTAAACTTAAGCTTTGTTTAAATATGTGGTTCCTATAATTTTGAGTTCAGTAAGTTCAGATGAAATATGTTTTGCAGTTCATTTTGTTTTACACTATAATTTAAAAAGAAGAAGCAATAAGTGGGGTCAGAGTTTCAATGCTAGGAGTGGTGGTTCATGATTTCTCTAGTATTGCTGCTAATGTGGATTAACAAATAAAAACATTCATTGTCTTTTGCCTCATTGTCTGACTGAGTTTGTCTAGAAACACCCACCTTTTGAATTCTCACTGTATAATTAGTGTTGTTTTTAAGATCAGGTGAAACATGATAAATTAATTTATGTTAGGATATGATAGTTTGGAAATGTGAATATTTTCCATATCCAAAAAAGGATCTGTTCACATCTGTATCTATCTACCTAATTTTAAACTATTTAGGTGACATTGGTTATGTTACTACCTTTAGAGTTTATCCAACAGTATGGCATATTGTGTGAGATTTTTTAGTACAATATTAACTATATATAATTGGTATAATATCAAGTATTAATATATATACTTATAATATTAAGTAGATATATAATTGAGAAAAGTTAATTTCAGGCCGGGTATTCTTCTCCTGAGGAGCTCACTGTGAGGTGGTAAAACTCCACCAGGACAAGCATCTTGTAGGGATCACAAAAGGCATCACTGAGGGCAATCTTGTTGGCAGCAATCTCTTATCACAACTTGGCCCAACCCCCACTCTACTGTAATTAGAAGGTTGTATTAGTCCGTTTTCACACTGCTGATAAAGACATACACAATATTGAGTAATTTATAAAGAAAAAGAGATTTAATGGACTCACAGATCCACATAGCTGGGGAGACCTCCCAATCATGGTGGAAGGCGAAAGGCACATCTTACGTGGTAGTAGGCAAAGAGTAAATGAGAACCAAGTGAAAGAGGAAATCCCTTATGAAACCATCAGATCTTGTGAGACTTATTCACTACCACAAGAACAGTATGGGGGAAACCATTCCCAGATTCAATTATCTCCCACCAGGTCCCTCCCACAAGGCATGGGAATTATGGGAGCTACAATTCAAGATGAGATTTGGGTGGGGTCACAGCCAAACCATATCAAAGGTGCAATGGAGAATTCATAATCCTCACTATTTGAGATTTGATGATGGTGATAAAAGGAAAACAACAGGTGGGATTACAGATGTAAGAAAAGGGAGGAAATTTTTTACCATTGAGTTAACCACATTACATGTTTTTAAATTTTGACTTTTTGTGTTGAAATAATTTCAGACCTTGAAAACTATAAGAAAGACAAGTGCAATGAAACCCCTTATATTCCCAGTGTTAACATCTTACAGTACAAGAGTAAAAGTCAAGACATTAACATTAATACAGCAACTAATGCATAGACCCTGTGAACACTGACCACAAGCTAAGTTATAAACAAGATTCAGCACATTTAAAATAGTTGGCTTTATATCAGTTATAGTCCCTCTACAGCAGCTTTAGTAAAAGAAATCAATGATTAAAAAGTAAGGAAAATATGCATTTGGAAATTAAAGTGGAAAGAAATCACTTCTAAATAATTTATGGTTTAAACAGAAAGCATACGGAAATTAGAAAATGTTTAAAACTAGATGACAAAATACTTCACAAGAAATCTTGGGGGTGTAGAAAAATCACACTTACATAGAATTTATAAACTTAAATGCTTATATTACAAAAGAAAAATGCCTGAAAGTTATGAGTTAAGTACCAACAGCAAGAAAAAAAAACAAGACAAAAGCAAGATAAAAATAAAATAAACAAAAAGCTTAGCCAAAGGCAATAGAAGAAAGCAATTAAATATAAGAACAGAAATTCAGAAACTAGAAAATGCAAGTAATAAAAAGATCAATAAGGCCAAAAAATTTATATATAGATGAACATAAATATAGAGATAAATAAATATAACAAGATATTTTTATCATAAAAATAAAATATTTTTATTTTATCATATTTAAACCTTAAGGTTTCTTGTAAAATATTTCATTATCAATGTTTTCAAATGAAAATATGGAAGGCCAGCATAAACAATATCAGAATTGAAAATGGGGACAAAAGTATAGATGCCAAAGAGAAAAATGAAAAAAAAGTATTAAGAACGTTTTGTCAATAAACTCTAAAAAAATTAGATGAGAGATAAATTCTTAGATAAATATAAATTGAGCAAACTGATCACTATGAAAAAGATAAAAATGAATTTATTGGAGATGCTGAAATGGTTTACAACTTACCCAGAAAGGAATCATCAGGCCAAGACAGGAACATTTTCTCAGATACTCAAGGGGCAGACTATTTGTATATTGTGCAAATTATTTTAAAGAACAAGAGAGAATACTCCCAAATTCAACTTATATTTCCCTCTATAATCTTGAAATGAAAAGATTCCGAGGGTAGAACCATAAGTAAACATTACAAGCCAATCTTACTCATGAATGTAGATGCAAACATCTTAAAATATTAGTAAATTGAATTCAGCAGTATTTTAAAAAGATCATGCATAATAACCAAGTTGGATTTGATCCATATATACAAATATATATATATATATATATATATATATATATATATATATATATATATAAATAAGAGATATACGTGATTATAACAAAATAGCAAAGGAGAATAGCATATGATCAAGTCAGTAAACCAAGAAAGAAAGTACGATTCAATATTTATCATGGTAAACACTTTCAGCAAAGTGAGAATAAAGAAAACTTATAAAATCCCATAAACTTAGCAACCAGAACCAGATAATTGTTACTGGATGATTATTACCACTTCTACATTATAATGAAGCATCTAGACATTTTAGCATTTATTCAAATAATATTTATTAAATTTCTAATATATAAGGCAATATTCCTGGTAATTATTTAGTGGGAAGGGGGCAAAAAATAAAGAAGTAGAACATATAACTTCCTAGATGGTGACAAATGCTATGGAGTCCAATCAAGTAGTAGACCTAAGGCATAGAGGGTGGTATAGTGCATACTTTAACAATTGCCAATATTTTTTAAGTACTTATATTGTATGAGAGACTCTTCTGGGTGTTAGTTTATTTCAATTTTCCAGCAACTCCAAAAGGTCAAGCCACTGTTCATATCCTTATTTCATAGATGGGAGTTATTTCATAAACTCACTTTATTTCCTAAACGTATTTCCTAAACTGAGAGTTTACATAAATTGCCTAACCTTTTGCTGTAAATGGCAGGGCAAGATCTGAACCCAGATCCTTTAGCTGTAAGTCCTTCAACCTCAGCACTACAGCCTGTCAGTAGGAGAAGGCCTCACTGAAGAAGGGCATGGAGAGGGTGAGGTAAGTGATATGGCTTGACTGTGTCCCTACCCAAATCTCATTTTGAATTCCCATGTGTTGTGGTAGGCACCTGGTGAAAGGTAATTGAATCATGGGGGTGGGTCTTTCCCATGCTGTTCTTGTGATAGTGAATAAGTCTCATGAGATCTGATGGCTTTAAAAAGAGGAGTTCCCCTGCACAAGCTCTCTCTCTTTTTGCCTGTTGCCATCCATGTAAGACATGACTTGCTCCTTCTTGCCTTCTGCCATGATTGTGAGGCTTTCCCAGCTACCTGGAACAGTAAATCTAATTAAGCCCCTTTCTTTTGTAAACTGCCCAGTGTATGGCAGGCCTAATAATCAAATACAGGTGTTGACAATGAGAATGTCAAAAATGGTCATATTCTGTATACCTTTAA